AAGTGGAGCTGGGGGAGCTGCTCCTGTCACTGAATTATCTCCCCAGTGCTGGGACACTGAATGTGGATGTCATTCGAGCCAAGCAGCTTCTTCAAACCGATGTGACCCAAGGTTCAGACTCCTTTGTGACAATCCAGCTGGTACATGGACTCAAGCTTGTGAAAACAAAGAAGACATCCTTCTTAAGAGGCACGCTCGATCCCTTTTACCATGAATCCTTCAGCTTCAAAGTTCCCCAAGAAGAACTTGAAAATGCCAGCTTAGTGTTTACAGTGTTTGGCCACAACATGCCAAGCAGCAATGACTCCATCAGAAGAATTGTCATCGGCCAGTACTCCTCGGGCCCCTCTGAATCCAACCACTGGCAGCGGGTGCTCAACACTCACAGCACTGCCGTGGAGCAGTGGCACAGCCCGAGGTCCCCGGCTGAGTGTGACCGCGTGTCTCCCGCCTCGCTGGAGGTGACCTGAGGGCTGCAGGGAAAGCAGCTTTCATTTGTTGGAGGAAAAAAAAAAAAAAGGAAGAAAATTTAAGACAAAAAAAATGTGTCATGTGCCTATTATATCCACAACACAAACACACATACACAAATCCTCTCAGAACTGAGAGGAGGCTGACTATTGAACACAAAATGGTTGCCCTCAATGAGCAAAGCCTGAGAACTTTCTGGAAACCCCATCTGTATGTCACAAGCAGAGTGGACTCTGCTGTGAGACTTGCAGTGCTTGCTCCTGTTGATACCCCTACCCCCAAATGCACTTTCAACCCTCAGGCCAGAGAAAGGGCCTCCCCAAGGGTGCCAGCCTCCATTGAGATGAAATTCTCTAAGAGCTTGGCCAGTGTGCGGGAGGCCCAACCCCCACACCCAGAATGCACAGCCGCTGACTGGGTGGCTTCTGAACAGCCTGCTGTTCTCTGGGGTTCTTCAAACCTGATACCTTTCTCCCAAAATGTAAGTACTTTGTCTTCTCTTTAGTAGACGTGATAGATTAGACTCTGAAGAAACCAAGTGGCATCCAAAAATATGCCGGTGTAAGAAACTTCCCTGGCTTAACTGAACTTGTCCTCATGTTATTCTATTCCTAAGGACCCCTTGTGGGTAGTATGTGAACGTTCTCATGTGTGTGCCCTCGCAGGTGAACACGTGTGTGTCCCTGTGTGTCTTCCTGGTGAGCAAGGCGCTTGGCGGGACCTCAGTCCTCAGCCCTCCCTTCTCTCTGCCTCTCCCAGTGAAATCTCACCCAGTGTCCTCCTGTCTGCCAAGACCCCACCTTCAGTAACAGCATGTGCGTATATCATGTAAACAGAATATGATAGATAGAGCAAAAGTAACCTTATTTGACCGATTCGTGGTGATTGTGGCACCCAGAAGACCTGCAAAGTACAGCTACATGGATTAAAATGGCCACCACACTCCCATCCAAGATGACTCCTTCCTTTGTCATACTCTGAGCATCTCTCTGTGTTTGTGTGTGACCCAAAGTCATTTTTCTCGTGCTAAGGAATTTGTGTAGTTAGAATAGATCTTTCCCTGTTGGATGCTTCTGTATCATTCCCACAGCCTATTGTCTGGCGTAATGGGGAGCTATTTATTGAAATTAAAGATTATTTATTTGTGCCGTGCAAAAAAAAGGGGGGGGGGAATGGCTCCTGCCACGAAAGCTGTCTTCAAGTTACAACTTAATCTCCTTCCTGAACTACCCATTCTAGGTTTCTTGCATCCTCATCCAACATCTCTTCTGGTCTAGCTGGCTTATGAAATATTACAAGCTAAGATGCTCATCTCTGAGTTGTAAGAGTTCCTTCCTGGTCAACCAATCCTTCTCAGATTATGGTGCTGCTCTTAGCTGTTAACTATCAAAATTGGGAAGGGGTGTATCATTGGATGCCCTAGGTACCCAACATTTTCCTCCTTGGCTCATCATGTAACAGTGGAGAAGCCCTATATCCTCCTGTGAGAAGGTCACTTACCCCTGCCAGTATGGCAACATCTTTCCTCAAATACTAAACTCTTGAAATAAGCACCCTGGGTTCCCCTGGGAACTAGGACCTAGAATCCACAGAGCCTCAAATTCAGGGATGAGAAGCACACATTTTCTAAGTGAGTCAAAGGGAATAATGCTAAGCTGAACCACTCCTGCTGCATTTTCAGATTTGTGTATTCTACTTAATGGAGTCCCCAGGACTATATAATGGATGTTGACCTAGGATATATGTTACCTCCTGGAAGGTGGCACTGCATCCTTATAGGACTCTCCCCTTTCTTGAGTGAAGGAAGGGTGCTGTTGACCATTTTAGGAAACTGAAATCTTTATTTCACTGATACCATCCTTAATGCGTGGAGTCAAAATTTTGCATTTAAGATTCTACTGTCGTGTCATTTATTTGAGTCTCCAAATATAGTATTCTATTTGATCTTTCTGAGTTTTCCTTAAAGTGAATTTTCTTAAAGAATCTGTCAGAATCTACATACAAGTTCTCTTATGCTACATTTAAGAATTAAAAAGAAGCATTTTTCTCACATCCACATTTCCAACTAGTTCTTCCATATTGATTAAAATTAAGTCCAAAAGAATAATTCACCTCATTGCTGCTTCTGCCATCTGAAGGAAAATATTTTTAGCAAGCAAAGACTGTACCAGATATTCAGCTTTTAGAAAAGGCTCTTTAATGGTAGCTGAATAATTGAAGACTCTAACTACTATAACTTGCTTCTGTGCCCTCGTGAAGTAAAGCATCGTTCGTATATTGCTTCAGTACCGCACTCCTAACTTAGCCTTTGTCTTTTTTGTTTTCTTTATCCTAAATGCTCTCCCCTGTGCCTCTTGTCTTGGGTTGATCTTTGAAAAAATAAGCATATACTTTAATATGCATTGTTAGAGGGTTTTCCCCTTGTATTAAATCTATTTTGAGTTCTGTACTTCCATTTATCAGTCCAGCCACAAAATCTCAGTGCTATTTCTGAGATTGTATTTACCATCTCATATGAAGCTTTATTCTTTTCATTAATACTATGTATATACCCGATAATGGAAGTAGTATTTTTATTTTGACCGTTGAATTTTTGGAATCTACCCCAAGTCTCCTCTTCCAGTGTGTTTTGTTATCACGCTTGCTGTCATCCATAACATCTCATTTTCCAGGGTGTTTGGGGGGGGGGGTGTTGCCTCAATTTCTATTCAAGCTCTGTTAATCATGTTGTCAATTAATAAAGCAAAGAGATATTTCTGACATTCCTGGAAAATGTGTCTCTTTTCCCAGCTATTTGCGACTATGAATCCTATTTCCTAATACCATCTGTGTAGCCAATTTTTTCATTTTCCATATCCTCTTATCTTCTCAGTAGTGATGACTTTCAACTGAAGTAGGGAAAGAAAATACAATTTATGCTTCCAGTGCTTTTTATTTCCAGGCCAGGACTACAAAGTCACTAGAAATGCAAGAGATTTCTTTTCTCACTCATTCTCAATAAATCGACTTCTGTGGGCCAGAATTCACAGGTCTGTTGAGATTTGTCAAGAATTTGGTCAGAACACTGAAGATATAGAAGCAAACACAAGGAGTTCTCAGTATTTGTGAACAAGATTGGAATGATCACCATCTGAATATGAGGTCATTAAAAATCTATAAATAGGATTAACCCTCTCCTCCACACACAACCTAAAAGATGATTTGAATATTTTATTCAGCGAGACTAGATGCTTATCTTTGATGGAAATATCCATCACGGCTTCCATTTCTCCTTAAGAAAAAATGTAACTAAGCCACCTAAAAAAAAAGGAAAAAAAAAAAGAAAAAATGTAACTAAAATGAGACATACTCATGTATATCTAAAATGTCATCAGACCTAAAGAACAGCAATTTATGTGCAATCTGAAGAATGGATAACTTATGTTTCCAGTGTCAAGAGTTTGTCAGGTTTTTAGGTTCTGTCAGTGTTCAGGGGAGAGAATATTCTTATGCTTCATGCAGGTTAATAAAATGAACAAAGATTTGGATACCAAATTTGAAAAATCTAACACCCCCCAACACTCTTCTTTCCCAGTTTTATTGAGGAAGAATTGACATACAATAAACTATACATATTTGAAGTATTCAATTTGATGTGTTTGACTCCTATGTACACCCATGAAGCCATCACTATAATCAAGATGGTAAACATATCCAGCACTGTAAAAGTTTCCTTGTGTTCTTTTTTTTTTATTTATTTATGATAGACACACACACACACACAGAGAGAGAGAGAGGCAGAGACACAGGAGGAGGGAGAAGCAGGCTCCATGCCAGGAGCCTGACGCGGGACTCGATCCCGGGACTCCAGGATCGCGCCCTGGGCCAAAGGCAGGTGCCAAACCGCTGATCCACCCAGGGATCCCCAGTTTCCTTGTGTTCTTTCATAATTCCTCCCTGCCACCCATGGAGGGATTCACCCCTTGTCTCCCACCCCAGATAATCACTGATCTGCATCTGAACTATACATTAGTTTTCATTTTCTGGTATTTTACACAAATGGAATCATTATTTATTTTTCATCTGGCTTCTTTCACTTAGTATAATTGCCTTCATATTCACTCATGTTGCTATTATCAGTATTTCACTCCTTTTTATTACTGAATGATATTCCCTTCTGTGGATATATCTCAGTTGGCTTATCCCAAACTTTAATTTATAATGGAGACTTCTTCAATGAACTTGTGCCCTCTTATAACTTGGCTGTCGTGAAATCTCTCGTCCCTGGTAAAACTGATCAAATTCCATCCCTGAGGCCACAAAGCTATGGCAGACTTGGGAAAGATAGAGTCCCCCACTGGGGGTGGGAAGGGAGTTCCCTGTGAGGTCAGTGTCCTTAGCCTCCAGACACCATCTTCCAGTCACAACATGTAATTGGGAATTTGTCATTTTTGTTGTAAAAACAATGTGTGCTGAGTGTCCTGATGAAGAATCATGAAAAGAACGATCCATTTCTCTTCTTCCCCACCATAACCCCCTTGCCATTTCAGACCCCTAAGGGGACCTGTGCAAAGTCAGTGAAGATTGCCATTGACACAGGATACCGGCACATCGATGGGGCCTACATCTACCAAAATGAGCATGAAGTGGGGGAGGCCATCAGGGAGAAGATAGCCGAAGGAAAGGTGCGGAGGGAGGATATTTTCTACTGTGGAAAGGTAAGATCTTCCCTTCAATCTCCAATTCCTTATATTAATAGTGGATCTGGTGTCACTTTTCTCCAAAAAGAACTCCCAAAAAAGGGTGAGTTCTCAACTCCCAGATTTCTCATTCTTGCCCAGAATTTAGGGACTGATTAATTAGCCCATTGAAGGTTAAGGCAAATCTTCATACATGGGTATTGATTTAAAACAATATGGGGGGCAGCCCGGGTGGCTCAGCGGTGTAGCCGCACCTTCAGCCCAGGGCGTGATCCTGGAGACCGGGGATTGAGTCCCATGTCGGGCTCCCTACATGGAGCTCACTTTTCCCTCTGCATGTGTCTCTGCCTCTCCCTCTGTGTGTGTCTCTCATGAATAAATAAAATAAGTAAAATCTTAAAAAAAAAAAAAGAAAGAAAAGGTTAAGACAATATGGGAAGAACAAATCTACAGAGCAGAAAAATTGAGGGGCAGAGGCAAGACAGAAGTTGGTTCATATTACATAAGCATTTGCCAAAGCTTTGTTTAAAAGGGCAAACTTCTTTTTCTTTTCTGTATGCCTATTTGTCCATAGATTGCTATTTTTTTTAATTGAGCTCCAATTCATGTGCCATAAAGTTTGCCGACTTAAACCAGTGGCTTTTTTGTGTATTCACAAAGCTACGTAACCATCTCAACTCTCTTATTCCATAATGTTTTCATCACTCCAAAAGGAGCCCCATACCCACCAGTAGTCACTCCCCATTTTTCATTCTCCCCCCAGTCACTGACAACCAGTGATCTACTTTCTGTTTTATAGTTTTCCTATTTTGGACATTTCATATGAATTGAATCATACAATATGTGGCCTTTTGTGTCTAGCTTCTTTTACTTAGTATGACATTTTTCTAGGTTTATTCATGTTATAGCACGTATGAGAATTTCATTTATTTTCTATGGCCAAATAATGCTCTATTGCGTGGATATACGATATTTATATCACTACATTTTGAGCATTTGAGATTTCCAATATTAGAAATCACTATCCACTGAAGTGCAATCAGAAGGATAAAGCATCATGATTAAAATGCAAGCCAGTGGGAATATAGGATGTATATTTACAGGCAGCTTTGCAGAAATAAAGCTGCACAACTTTGGAGAACATGTAATACAATTCTCCTAAGTGTTCTAAAAGAGGACAAGATACTGCTTCTAACTTCATCCATTTCCCATACACAGCCCCCTTCCTCCCAGCTCCCCATTCAGGCTCCTTGCCAAGCTCCCTAGGTGTTTGTAGTTCCCCAAGTCCCCAGCCACTTATGGATTATGATTCCAAGGGGCTACATATCACCACTATCCCAAAATATCAGCCTGAAGCTTTTTCCTTTATTATAACTTTATAATTCTGATTCCTTAAGATTTTATTATTACACAGTCTCTCCTTAGAGTGAACACCAAATCTTAACCTGCTGCTCCCAAAATATTTCTGGGGAAGAAAAATATTGAACTCAGATCCTGAGAACTTAGGCCAAAGCAGCCTGCCCAAAGTTAGAAGTATTTTTGAAGACTTATGTCTTGTCCTAAAATTTTTTTTAGACTTTTATATTTTTCCCCGTAATATAAACTCATTTGTTTCATTTTGTTTCCGTGTAAAAATTGATTCTAAGTTACCACCAAGGAAAATAAACTGAAAACCTTTTCTTCTCATCTACTCTGGTAAACAGTTGAAGCTATTGTGATATCTATCATGTTGGAAAATTTGAACCAAATTAAGTCATCTAGTTCATAAAGTTGCTATGAGTTAACATTTACAAACCACTTAAACATAGTACCTGGCACAGAGCTACGATGATATGTGTTTGTTGAATAAAAATAAATTAAAATCTGTAAAACAATTTTCAGCTAGAATGGGATGGCAGCAATAACTCACCAAGGGGGCCTACGGTAATGATAAAAACATATTTTTCCGCTACTCTTTTCACTGTGTTTTCTCTTCTTTATGCATTGAAGGCAAGAAAAAATTATTGTCCAATGTACAGAAAAATCAAATTTTATCAATTTTACTTGCCCTAACTTGTGACAAAAAGGGTACAGAAATTCAAGATTTTTTCCCAAAAACACTTTGAACACATTTGATGCTCCAAGGAGTTGTATTACTTTATCCCAAGGCTCTGAGGATCCCTCAGTACCCTGTGCTTAATAGACTTCAAGGGTACACGTGCTTCAGTTTGACAATGTAAACCTTAATCTTTCATTACCTAACACTTTAGAGATTGACTAATTTCATTTTTTTTCATTAAGCTAAATTTCTTTTATTTTTTCCAGCTTTATTGAGATATCATCAACATATGACATTTTGCAAACTTAAGGTGTACATACACCATGTTGACTTGATACACTAATGTTTTGCAAAATGATTACCACCATAGTATTAGCTAACATCTCTATCATATCACAAAATTGCCATTTCCTTTTGGTGGCGAGGACATTTAAGATCTATTCCCTTAGCAACTTTCAACTGGAAGTTGGTACTGTTTGACCAATATCTCCCCATTTTCATCTGTGGATAGCTAATTATTGACCTTTATTGGAAGATGAGGCTGGGGTCTCCCACACCACCATTTTGGTGACATTATCAGTTTAGCCAGAGAGCCAGTAATTTCTTAGTAGGAATTGGCAGTTTCCCTGGGGTCTGAGTAGGACCAAATGAGAACAAAGCAGCAAAAAAAGGAAATCTAAACATTTGCAATAATTAAAGTTTTACCAGCTTCTGCACCACCTGTCACAAGGTGAAGGATCCAGTGAAGTCACTCACCTAACCATATTTCTTGTCCCGCTAAAGCACACCTTTTATCAGACTATCATGAAAATAAAATGCTGAAGCCAGCTAGTCAAATAATGTTCCCACCTACACAATAAGGAAAAGTGAAAGTGCTGAGGGTCAATTCAGAAATTAGCAGGGAGCCCAGACCCGCCGCCGCCGCGACCCCCTCAGCTGCCTGCAGCCCTCGGCGCGGTGGACCCGGCGGTGGCCGTGCAGATGAGCGAGGCGGTGGCGGAGAAGGTGCTCCGGTCCCTGCGGGAGGAGTCAGGATGGAAGATTTGCCGGGAAGGCAATGGAGTTTCAGTTTCTTGGAGGCCATCTCTGGAGTTTCCAGGGAACCTGTACCGAGGAGAAGGCGTTGTGAACTCCACACCAGAGAAAGTGTGGGGCTGCATAAAGCAGCTTGCTGGGACCCTGAGAGACAAGTGGGGTGAGAATGTGAGCAGCTTTGAAATTATCGAAAGCATCACTGATATGCTGTGAGCAGAACCGCCACCCCCTCGGCTGCCACGAAGCTCATTTCCCCCAGAGACTTTGTGGACTTGGTGCTAGTCAAGAAGTATGAGGACGGGACGCTCAGTTCCAATGCTGTCAACGTGGAACACCTGTTATGTCCTCTGAAGCCAGGTTACGTGAGAGGGTTTAACCACCCTTGTGGGTGCTTCTGTGAGCCTCTGCCAGGGGAGCCCAACAAGACCAAGCTGGTCACGTTCTTCCAGACTGACCTCAGCCGCTACCTCCCGCAGAGTGTGGTGGACTCCTTCCCCCGCAGCATGGCCGGTTTCTACACCAACCTGGAGAAAGCAGTGAAGAGGCTTTATGACTGATGTCCTCACCTGCTGGCTAAGAACTCCAGAGACTCCCCACAGAGCTCCTCTTGTTCGGGTCCTGGAGGGCTCGAGGGCCAGTGTTCACCCTTCAGAACCCGCTTGGGAGCAGCTCATCTCCAAGAAGCCAGCCAGAGTGGCCTCTGCCACCCTGCTCCTCCTCCCACTCAGGGCTGGTTTGGGGGTACTGCTCCAGGGCCCTGTTTGCTGGCTGTCCAAACCCCAACTTGGGCCAGCAGACACCAGCGGATGAGCCTCTTTGTGTGAGTCCCTGCCAGAGACTACCTGCCACTGCCCCCCCCACACACCCCCGCCCTCCTTTGTCAGAGTCACCATCGATGCTGAAAACCGAGCTCTGCTGCCTTTTTTAGCACCCCGGGGCTTTCCCACCTATGCTACTGACCTCATAACTATTTTTCTGCACCAGTTCTCCCCCTCTTCAAAAGGTAATGACTTGGAAAATATTGTTTTCACAAATGGGATAAGCATTAATGAAAAAATACATTCAATATGTCTTTGGTTGTAACTTCAAAAAAAAAAGAAACAAACAAACAAACAAACAAACTAGCAGGGAGCAGGGCAAGACTTTGTCACCAAACTAGGTACTCTATACTTCAGATGGATCTTCCAGTCTCTGGTACTATATTTGGATAAAGTATACTCTGGGTGTCAGGAGTTCTATGAGCTCATCCTATACTCAGATGATACTGCATGCAGCATAAGCATATTTTTGTAAAATGAAATGAATGAATAATGTATATGAGTGCTTTGTTAAGGGTTGTATTATTGTAAAAAAAAAATGTGCAGATGTTAGTTAACTATCACCTTTTATTCTTTCAGCTGTGGGCTACAAAGCATGACCCAGAGATGGTCCGCCCAACCCTGGAGAAGACACTTAGCGTCCTCCAGCTAGATTATGTGGATCTTTACATCATTGAAATACCCATGGCTTTCAAGGTGAGCTCAGATGCCTAAAGATAGGTTTCTGCTCTTAGGCAACCATGATCCAGCAGCTGTGTGTGAAGCTGTGAAGCTAGTTCATTATTTATCACCATAGAGTGTTAAGGTGTTCTGTTATTATAAATCAGGTAGTACTGACAAATCCCAACAAATGCCTATAGAGATTATATATATAACAGACTCAGACCTGGAACCCTAGTTTTTGATTAATAATCCAATGTACTTGCTATTATATCTTGTCTTTAACTATAGTTTAAACTCTCCCCACCAAACCAACGTGTAGTCCCCTAACTATACTCTACATTTTAGTTACCTGGCATTCAGACACATCCTTCTTCCTGTTTACAAAGTCATGAACATGTCCCTGCAGAACATAATGCAACATAATATATGCAACCGAAAACTTACTCATCCTCCACCCCCTCCAAAAAAGAAATAACCCAAAGAATAGTCAGGTTCTTGGAGCTAGATCCAAGGGCAGGGGATCTATGTAATATCTATTCCTCTAGTTCAAATTCACTACTTCTTTGACCTTTCTCAATCTATGGACTTGTTTATTTAACCAGCAACAAACAACACACCTATATGTATATATACACTGCTAAAGAGCAATCACTGCTTTAAAATTTCATTGAGGGCAGAAGAAATTGAACAATGAAATTGGCTACTTGTTCACAAGGTAAATCAGATTCTGCTGCTAGTCAGAAAGAACAAAGACTCTGCCATTACAGTGGCCAGAATTCCTTTATGTGACCAACCTGGCTGCCCCTATTTTTTTCTCTGGAAATACTTTCCTTGTTGGCTTTCCTCTGTAGTCACATCCAAGATGGGCTTTGGGAAAAATTGTCCTTTTGCATCCTACTTCATGAAGATAGAAGTTTGGAGACTTCACAATGGCCTTGGTAATCATAGGCTTTTACTGGTCAGGTTGAGATTTAATGGACAAGGCAATATCCCTTAAAATGTAATAAGCTTTCAGTAAATTTACATTCAGTCAGGTCCATGAATGAGTAATTAAAACTAAAAATCTAATAGGGTTCTTATATCTAATCCGTGGCCTATGGTTTCTCTTAGTAAAGAAGCTCCTTGTTTTACTTATCTGCCTCACGTTTAGCTTACTGACCTCCATCTGATTGGAAATACTATAAAACGGGGGCACCTGGTAGCTCAGTCGGTTAAGCATCTGCCTTTGGCTCAGGTCATGATCCCAGTGTCCTGGTATAGAGCCCCACATTGGGCTCTCTGCTCAGCAAGGAGTCTGCTCCTTCCTCTCCCTTTGCCTACAGCTCCCCCTGCTTGTTCTCTTTCTCTCTTTGTCAAATACATAAATAAAATCTTTTGAAAGAAAGAAAGAAAGAAGAAAGAAAGAAAGAAAGAAAGAAAGAAAGAAGGAAAGAAAGAAAGAAAGAAAAGAGAGAGAGAGAAAGAAGAAAGAAAGAAAGAAAAAAGAAAGAAAAGAAGAAATAAAAGAAAAGAAAGAAAAGAAAAAAGAAATACTATAAAACAGGCAGGCACAGTTAATGTGTTCCTTATACCCAGTCTGCAATTCATTGGATGCCCCTTTGTCTAGTAGGGCATCTGTGGCCTGAGATCTTATCTTCAAAAACAACCAGCATTCTCACAAAGTCCAATACTACTTCCCTCTAGGATTCTTAACTTCCTTTCTTGGCTGTCACTAATTTATCTATCTCCAGAAGGCTCAGATATGAACTTCTGTCATCTTGGATGACATCCAGAAGTACGAAGTACCCATTTTAATAAAATGTCATGGGCAGCCCCGGTGGCGCAGCGGTTAAGCACCGCCTGCAGCCCAGGGTGTGATCCTGGAGACCCGGGATCAAGTCCCACGTCGGGCTCCTACATGGAGCCTGCTTCTCCTTCTGCCTGTGTCTCTGCCTTTCTCTCTCTCTCTGTCTCTCGTGAATAAATAAATAAAATCTTTAAAAAAATAAATAAAATAAAATGTCATCTTACCTCTTGTCTTACAAGCCCAGTAGCAACAAACACCTCTTTCAACACATGCCTGAAGACTACAAAATGGCCAGAAAATTCTAATACCTAGTGGTTTTCTACTACGTCCCCTAAAGCTCCACCATTAGTAGGCCTATTTGTCTGAGACTTAAGACAACAATTTAACAGATTTATGCTCTTACAGAGCAAGGATTGCCAATTCTCAACTGGAGGGGGGATACTTCTCACTGTCCACTATCTCATGTTGACCTAACCAACTTCTCATTACTTGCCATACCCCAAAATCTTTGAATTAGTCAGAACTTGTTTTTATAAATGGCAGAAATCCAACTCAAGTTGGTGTTAGCTAAAAAGGGAGCCAGGAATTCCAAGGGATATCTAATTCAGGCACAGCTGGATCCAGAAATTCAAACTATGTATCTGGCCCTTTATCTCTGGTTTGGTTGGCTTCATCCTCAAAAATCCTTTTCTGTTTGATGGCAAAATGGCCATTTACATGCCAAGCCTACATTGTCAACACATGACAATTCAGACAAAGAGAGACCACACATTAAACCTCACAGAGAAATACTGACTAGCCTTCCTTAGGTCACGTTACTGACTAACCTTTGCAGAAGGCCAAAACGGGGACTGACTGACATCTTTGACCGAGAATAAGAGCTGGGTCAACCCACCCAAAAAACATGGAAAGGGCTCCTCCAGAGGAGACAGCACAAGTATGATAGAAAACAAAATAACAAAAAAAAAAAAAAAAGAAAGAAAACAAAATAACAGATTTCTACTATAATTAATTAGAGGCCACCTAGCATAGTGATAAAGATCATGGGTTCCAAGCAGGCTGCCTAGTTTGAATCCCAGCTCTGTCACATACAAGCCAGATGACTTGGTCAGGTTATTATCTGATCTTTTCCATATAGTCTTAACATAGTAGACTGTACAAATTCTGTATGGACTTTGGAGTCACACAGATGAGGGACTTATTTTCAGCTTTACTACTTACTACCAATAATCACTTTGATCTTTCTTTTCTTTCTTTTTTCTTTTTTTTTTTTTTGGTTCTTTCTGAACTTCAATTTCATTATCAGTAAAACGGAGACAATAGCAACTAACTTGACAAATTTTGCGAGGAGTCATTAAGATTATATATGTGAAATTACAGGCACAATATCTGACATTTTATAGATAATATTCTGAAATGTTTAGGTAGAAGGGAACCTTAGTATAAGATATCCCAACAACCTGATTTCACAGAAGAGAAAGTTGAGGCCCCAAACAAGGAAGTAACTCACTCAGGTTTAGTCCATTAGAACAGGACCACAAGATGGGCTCCCTGATGCCAACCCCATAACACTGCCCCTCTGTTTTGTCCTCATGAACCTAGCAATCCCAATACCCTGTGGACTACAGTGATTTTTTTAATTTCAGGTTCTTGGGAGTTAAAACCTCAGCCCTCATCCTTACACAACTAACTTCACTCATATTCAAAGAGTAGATTTCTACACTTAACTCTTAAAGATTTGGAAAAAGCGTATGTCTAAAAGTGAGAAAATGAAATTTACTTTTCTGTGGCTGACCGATGATGTGTAAAATCTTTTCGGGAAAGGTAAACAGAAAATTTCCACTCCTATTCTTAGATGGGATCAAGGCTCAAGGATACAGAGAGAAGGTAAAATTTTTAACAGTGAAAAATGACACAGTATAATGACATTACTTCCCAAATGAACCTGTAATTCCTATAATTGAGAAATCAATCTTCAAAGCCAAAATATCACATGCTTTTTTTTAATATTTTATTTATTTATTCATGAGAGACACACAGAAAGAGAGAGGCAGAGACACAGGCAGAGGGAGAAGCAGGCTCCATGCAGGGAGCCTGACATGGGACTCAACCTGGGGTCTTCAGGATCACAACCTGGCCTGAAGGCGGCGCTCGACTGCTGAGCCACCCAGGCTGCCCTCTCCTGATTTTTTTTTTTTTTAACAAGAAACCTTTCTTGCTAAAACATTTTAGCACTTTATTATTTTTTGAATGTCAATTTAACAAGCAGACACAATTTCAGAACAACAAAATACCAAAAAATCACAAGACATTTTTAAGGATTTTTTTTTAATTTTTATTTATTTATGATAGTTACACAGAGAGAGAGAGAGAGAGAGAGAGAGGCAGAGACATGGGGAGAGGGAGAAGCAGGCTCCATGCACCGGGAGCCCGATGTGGGATTCGATCCCGGGTCTCCAGGATCTCGCCCTGGGCCAAAGGCAGGCGCCAAACTGCTGCGCCACCCAGGGTTCCCCATTTTTAAGGATTTTTAAAAAAGATTTTATTTTAGAGAAGAAAGCACAAGGGTTGTGGGGGCAGAGGGAGAAGGAAAGAAAATTTCAAGCAGACTCCATGCTGAGCACAGAGACAGATGCAGGCCTCCGTTCCAGAACCCTATGATCATGACCTGAGCTGAAAATGAGCATGACGCTTGACTGACTCCACCACCCAGGCACCCCACAATAAAACATTTTTGAAAGATGAATGAAGTTACTGCTGAGCAGGAATGAGAGTCAGTATCATGGGGTTTTACAGGGTTAGATTATTCCAGCAATGGCCTACACTAAAGAGCAAGAACAGAGGACAAAGACAATGGTTTTATCAGGATGAATGGATTAGTAAAGTAGACACAGCAGAAGCCTAAGGGAGGCATCATGGAAATATTTAACATGGGTGCAGGCTTGATAAGAACTTAATTAAAATCTGGAGAGGTAAAAATTATTTAGCAGAGTTCAGAATTGAGGCATAAAGCCATTTCTGAACAGAGGTAAAACTGGGATATGCAAAAGGCAAGAAATATAGAGAAAGACTGGAGTGAAAATGTGGGTCATAAGTGTTGAGAGGTTAAAAAGCTTAGAAATCAGAGACAGAAAGGGCAATTAACATGAGTGATTATGGGGCATCAAGGGGAGAGGAGCCCTTTTCCCGCTCTCACTCATTGAGACAGGCAGAATTGAGAAGAAATTATTTTCACTAAAGAGGACAATGAAGAAAATGTTATCACCAGGGGAAAGTTTCATTCAGGTAAAATGGCAGAAGGAAAAATTTTTAAATATTTAAGAATATAATTGACTTTGTCCAAATGCGTGATTTTCAACAAAAAAAAAAAATCACGGTCTACAGACTTCCATGCTATCATCCACATCTAAAAGACACTTTGTCCCCATGTTATTTGATCTGTTTCAATACAGATGACTACTGCCTTTTTCTTTAAACATTTTCAGCTTATGGTTCTATTGTATCACCCTCTCCAGATGCTTTGACAGCATCTTCCCTGCCAATGTCCAAACGCCGTTATGCCCAGTACTGTATCCTCAATATTGTTTTACTGAGCCACAATTTCTCTACAGGTGATCCCATAGATTGAGTACCACTTTATGTGCTGATCCCTCCCAAATTTGTCTGCAGCCAAGACTTCTCTCTGAGCCTCTCTCAGACTTCTCTGTTCAATTGCCTCCTCAAATACCCACTGAATGTGGAAATTGCCATTTCAAACTCAAAATAACCAAAAAAAAAAACCTCTTGATTGCTAGCCTAAACTCAGGGAATGATCACCACTAGCCAACCAAGCAGCCTAGAAATCATCTTTTATTTCTCTCTATCCTATTTCCAAGCCCATAAGAATGGTTCCCATTTTTAGATATAGCGAAAGAGGAAAAATCTGAAAGCCAACAGTCAGTCTTAGTTGGAAAAGGATCACCAAAAATCTAGGTTTGATACTGAGATAATTTGTGAAGTAAAAAATAGATGCTAAACTCCTGGAGGTCCCGGAAAGAAAGAGCCACTGGGCAGATTATTCAGAACCAAGAAGTAATGTGCTAAGTTTTTCCGTATGATTAGGGAGTGTTCCATTCATTAGCTACACTTTTCTTAGCTGAAAAACTTCTTTTCACCCTTAAGGATGATCCTTGTTTTCTTATTAGAGTGAAAAATTTGCTGTTCTCAGGATGCGTGGGTGGCTCAGTGGTTGAGTTTCTGCCTTTGGCTCAGGGCATGATCTCCAGTCTGGGGATCGAGTCCAGTATCAGGCTCCCTCCAAGGAGCTGCTTCTCCCTCTGCCTATGTCTCTGCCTCTCTCTGTGTGTCTCTCATGAATAAATAAAATCTTTAAAAAAAATTTGCTGTTCTCAACTTTGGGCTTAGGGTTAGATCAAAACGCTGAGCCTAAATATCCTAATTCTCAACTTCTACTCTTTATTTATGAGTAATTTTGTTATTAAATGTTACAGTGGCTGGTAATGAGGGTGGCAAAGAATTGCACAAAGAGTAGAGCAATAAAGAGGAGAGTTTATTCATTCTCCAAGGGAGGAGAGGAACCAGACATCTAGAAAAGTGTTGGCCCCAAGTTTATGTCAAGCTGGGCCTTTTAAGGAGTTTTGAAGGATGTGAGAGGATTGTAGCTGTACCCATGGGGGAATTGGTGTGTAGAGAAGGGATCAACTCTTAGCCAGGTAGAGCAAGAAATGGCAGGTATATTGGCTCTGTCCAGGGGTTGTCTGAGATGTGGATCATGGTCAGGCTAGAGAAGAATATAATTTTGTGGTTGAAGTTTATTTCTCAAGAATGTAGGGCACCATGCCCTAGAAAAACAGAGTTAGGGCCAAATGCAGACACCTGTTAGTTTTGTCTGTGTCATTGGGTGAGGCGGGAGGGGGTAGTTGAACAGATTCCTTTCATTATGAGAGAACTTCATGGTTTAAGAACAATAATAAGGGGGTGCCCCAGGTGGCTCAGTGGTTTAGCGCCACCTTCAGCCCAGGGTGTGATCCTGGAGACCCGGGAAAGAGTCCCACGTTTGGCTCCCTGCATGGAGCCTGCTTCTCCCTCTGCCTGTGTTTCTGCCTCTCTCTCTCATGAATAAATAAATAAAATCTTTAAAAAAAAAATAAAGAACAATAATAATCTGTCAATAAATAAAGGAAAATGAATGCCAGAGTGAGATGAGACTAATATGTCATATTTATTATACATAAATAATTAAAATTGAATTGCTTTCCTAGGCCCAGGGTATATGGTATAATGACAACTCAAATGCCATAATTTTAATTCCCAGATATAAATAAAATAAGTTATACTCATTCTTTTTTATAGCCTGGAGATGAAATCTACCCTAAAGATGAGAATGGCAAATGGTTATATCACAAGTCAAATCTGTGTGCCACTTGGGAGGTAAGTTCAAATGGACCTCTTTTCTTGAAGACTACATTTTTAAACTGATCTGATTATTTCTGTTCAATTTATGGAGAAATGCAGCCTTTACTCCTAATGTATAGTAATAATTGGAACAGGTATTTCTAATCATAAGCAAAGATGTGTAAAATCCCCATTTCTGCACACTGAAAAATTCTTGATTTTGTTTTGATGGAAAAGAAGAATGCCAAAGAAGAGAGAAGTGTAGAAGGAAAAAGAAAGTAAAGGAAATAAGTTCTAATGTAACCATAAATAAGACTATATCAATGAGATAAAATCACAAATTTTTGAAATTTCTCAAATTGAATTTATGAAAATCAATAATATGATGTTTAAAAGAAACAAACAAAGTGATACATGAAAAACTGAAAAATAATTCTGGTTCCAGTTCTGAACAAGCTGATGGCTCCTTCCCCAAAATCATAAGAGTAGGAAAACTGGGGAAAGTAATTAAGGAAACCTATATGGATTCATGTTGGGGGTGAGGGGTGCAGATCTTTCAACTGGTTTGTTTATGAGGTAATATGGCAGCTTTTACCTAGAGTAGAAGGCAGCCCAACAAGCTACAAGAGGATAACATAGGAAAGGACCTTAGAGTTCTTTTTGCTCTTCCTTCTCTCCTGCTGTAGCCTTGGAACAAGTATTATCTGCTCCACACATATAGAAACTTAAGACTCATGTTCAGATGTCTTCAGGAATCAAATAAGAATAGCACCGAAATCCCGCACTTGTGAGAGGCTGAGAAAAACATAAGTTACTATCTGACCTCTGGCCACCATTTCCCTCCTTCTCCCATTCAAAACTCCAAAGACTGGGAAATTACACTCTAACAAGTACCTCTTTCTTTCTTTTTTTTTTTTTTTAAGATTTTATTTATTTATTTGAGAGAGACAGAGAGAGCAAGGAGAGCACACCAGCACAAACAGGGGGGAGAGGGAGAAGCAGGCTCCCCAGTGAGCTGGGAGCCCAACATGGGGCTTGATCCCAGGACCCTGGGATCATGACCTGAGCCAAAGGCAGAAGCTCAACTGACTATGCCACCCAGGCGCCCCTAACATGTACCTCTTTCTAATGGACTTCCCCTCCACCCTCCGTAGGTAATAGATGATTATCTGAATTGCAGAGTTATTTTGAGGGGTGAGAAGCATTGATTGGGTTTTCTGATGCCTGGGGATCTCCACCCAAGAGACCATACACTCATTCCTGACCTCATTGTAGATGACTAGGTTTGGAGTCACGTGTCTCCTTCCAAAGGACTGCCTGATAGCATAGTCAGTATCCTCAGGAAAAAAAATGTGTAAAAATTCCCATTTACAAGGCATTTATTTTATAAAGAAACCACACATCTCAATTAGAGATCCAAACATAAACAGAACAGATGACCAAGAACTTTTAGCTTCTTTAGCCAATTAATATAACAAAGGAGATAAGAAAAGATGCTAGCAATATGAAACAAGAACAAGAATATACTTTTAAAAAAGTGAAAATAATACTTAGTAAAGTGTAAAACAATGCAATAAATGGGATTAAAAATAGAATGGATATAAACAAAGAAAAATTATCAGATTGAAAGATCAGAATGAGGAAACTATCCTCCCCCCAAACGTGAAGAAGGAAAGGACAAGAAAATGTTTTAAGTATGAAAGAAAGGCTAAGAGTTGTAAAGGATAAAATTAGAATTTCTAGCATCCATACAATAGGAGTCTCAGGAAAAAAAGAAAGAAAAAAAGAAAAGGAGGTAATATTTGAAGAAAAAAAAAGATAAGGTGTGGATCACCAAAGAGAAGAGAAGAAAAACCTTACCTAGGTACATTACAGTGAAATTTCAGAATATCAAATATACAGAGAAAATGATAAAACTTCCCAAGTATAGCAAACAAGCCAATAAAGAAAAAAATGGAAGAAACAATAATAAATCAAGAAGACAGGAAAAGAAGAGGAAAAATGAATAGATGGGAAAAATAGAAAGCAAAGAGCAAGATGAGAGATTTTAACTCACTTATAAAAAAATAAATAAAATAAACTCATATTAATAATCACAATATATGTAAATGGTCTAAACAACTCAGTTAAAAGGCAGAGGTTATCAGAATAGATAGAAAGCAAAACCCCACTGTATATATTATTTATAAGAAACCCGTTTTATTTTTTTATAATAAATTTATTTTTTATTGGTGTTCAATTTACCAACACACAGAATAACACCCAGTGCTCATCCCGTCAAGTGACCCCCTCAGTGCCTGTCACCCATTCACCCCCACCCCCTGCCCTCCTCCCCTTCCACCACTCCTAGTTTGTTTCCCAGAGTTAGGAGTCTTTATGTTCTGTCTCCCTTTCTGATATTTCCCACACATTTCTTCTCCCTTCCCTTATATTCCCTTTCACTATTATTCATATTCCCCAAATGAATGAGAACATACAATGTTTGTCCTTCTCCAATTGACTTACTTCACTCAGCATAATACCCTCCAGTTCCATCCACGTTGAAGCAAAATGGTGGGTATTTGTCGAAGAAACCCGTTTTATTTTTTTTTTTTTTAATTTTTTTTTTTATTTATTTATGATAGTCACATAGAATGAGAGAGAGAGAGGCAGAGACACAGGCAGAGGGAGAAGCAGGCTCCATGCACCGGGAGCCCGACGTGGGATTCGATCCCGGGTCTCCAGGATTGCGCCCTGGGCCAAAGGCAGGCGCCAAACCGCTGCGCCACCCAGGGATCCCCAAGAAACCCGTTTTAAATAAAAAGACACAAATAGGTTAGAAGTAAAAGATTAAAAAAAAAAGGAAAAGGATAGAAAAAGATATACTAGGCTTTTTATTTCCTTCAAAAGAAAGTTGGAGTAGCTATTTTAATGTTAGCAAAGGTTTCAGAACAAAAAGTATTACCAAAGATAAAGAAGTGTGTTTATCCTAATAACAGAACTTAGTAACAGCACCTCATAACAGAACTCCAAAATACATGAATCTTAAATGAAGAGAACTCAAGAGGAGAATAATCTACAATTATAGTCAAAGATTTCAAAATCTCTATCTCAATAATTGAGATAATTAGACATAAAATCTATAGAAGAGATTTAAACATTATCAACCAGGGATCCCTGGGTGGTTCAGCTGTTTGATGCCTGCCTTTGGCCCAGGGCATGATCCTGGAGTCCCAGAATCGAGTCCTGCATCGGGCTCCCTGCATGGAGCCTGCTTCTCCCTCTGCCTGTGTCTCTGCCTCTCTCTATCATGAATAAATAAATAAATAAATCTTTTTAAAAAATTAAAAATAAACATTATCAACCAGCTTAACCTAATTGACATTTATTGAATATTTCACCAAAATATAGCAAAATGCTATTTTTCAAGTACACATAGAACATTTAACAAAATAGTCCACTGAGACATGAAACAAATCTCAAACACATTTAATTATATTCTTTATGCAATGTAGGCTGTCTGATAAAATTAGAATTAAATTTGAAGTCATGAGCAACAATATATCTGAAAAACCATCAGATATTTGGAAACTGAAAACATACATGTAAATAACCCATAGGACGAGAAATAAGATCTGTATTTATACATAATGTATATGTTAGCAACACATAATTGGAAATTAAATCTTTTTAAATGATATTAAGTTTTAGAGATAAATCCAACAAAATCAGTGCAAGAGTTAAACAGTAAAAACTAAAATATATTACTAAGAGCAATTTATTTTTAAGTAATCTACTATGCCCAATGTGGGCTTGAACTCACAACCTCAAGATGAAGAGTTACATGCTCTACCAATTCAGCCAGCCATGCACCACTACTGAGAGCGATTTTTAAAACCCTAAGGTGAGAGATACATCATGTTCTTTGATAGAAAGACTGAATATATTAAGATGGTAATTTTCCACAAACTGATAGATTCAATGCAATCCCAGCCAAAATACCAAAAGAAATTGAAAAACTGATTCTAAAATTTATAGGGGGGATGCCTGGGTGGCTTAGCGGTTTAGCTTCTGCCTTTGGCTGGGGTTGTGATCTCAGAGACCCAGGATCAAGTCCCACATCGGGCTCCCTGCATGGATCCTGCTTCTCCCTCTGCCTCTCTCTCTCTCTCTCTCTCTCTCTCATGAATAAATAAATCTTTAAAAAAATTTATAGGGAAGTGCAAATAGCATAATGATAAAAGAGTCAATTTACCAAGAAAATATATCAATTTTAAACACATGCGTACCATATAAAATATCTTCAAAATATATAAAGCAAAAGTCAATAAACTATAAGAAGACACTGATAAATTCTTCTAATATAGTGGGAAATTTCTAACATATTCCTTTAAATTATTGAGAAGCCAGGAGAAGCTAGACCCAGCTTTGTATATAATGTGTGTGTGTGTGTGTGTGTGTGTGTGTGTATGAATGAGACACAGAGCAAGAGGAGAGAGAAATTTGTATCTAATAAAAGGAGAATATACATTTATAAAAATGGATCAAATACCATGCTATAAAGCAAACCTCAACAGATTTCAGGAAATAAGATCATTTTTAATGCACTGGTATATATTGTGAAAATGCAAGGGGAAGATATGCTGTACAGTGTTTCCCAAACTAATTCAAATACAGAATTCCTGCCTATCTCTCCCACTTTTTTAAAATCTTCACAGAATGTCTGTTAACATACCCAGGGACTTTCCTTCTTAAAGAATTCACTGTCACCCCCGTAAACATTCTCATTTGTTTTGAGGCTTTTGCCTTAACCCTTTGGCCTTTACTCAACAGGCTTTGGAAGCTTGCAAAGATGCTGGCTTGGTGAAATCCCTTGGAGTTTCCAATTTTAACCGCAGGCAGCTGGAGCTCATCTTGAACAAACCAGGACTCAAACATAAGCCAGTCAGCAACCAGGTACAGTTTGACAGGAGGTGGGAGGGGAGAGGGGAATGTGAGGAGTAGAGGGAGATTCCAATATTTACTTAACAGGAGAATGCTGGAGTAGGAGTTGGAAATCTTGTGGTCATTAACACATATCTCATCATAGGACCATGAGAGCAAGTCTTTTGACTTCTCTCAATTTATGTCTCTTAAAAAAAGATTTGCAAGTTCAAATCCAGGCAAAAATAATCCAAAGAATTTTTTTGAAGAAAAATCATGAGGAGGAACTAGATCTGCCAGACATTAAGATATACAGAGTTTAAATTAATAGAAAATAAGAAATATCTTAGAAACAGGCCCAAGTATGATAAAAACTTAATATAGAGACAATAACACAAACGAGTGGCAAAGAGGTGAATTTTTCAGTAAATTGTGTGGAGGAAATGGTTAGTTATGTAGAAGCCAATACAGATCTTTGCCTCATGTCCTACTCCTAGTATCTCTTTGATCAGAAGTTAAAGGAGAAAGAGGAAATCATTTGTGAGTGCTACAAAACAATTTTAGTTTTCTAGAGCTATAGATAGAAAATGAAGCCATGGGAAAATTATAAAAGAAATGGACATATTTATAGTAAAAAACATTAAACTCTAAAAATATTGGAAACAGGGGCGCCTGGGTGGCTCAGTTAGATAAGCATCTATCTGCCTTTGGCTCAGATCATGATCCCAGGATCCTGAGATAGAGCCCAGATGGGGTAGGCGGTGGGGGACTGGGCTCTGCTCAGCAAGGGGTCTGCTTCTACCTCCCCCCTGCTCTTGCTTGCTCCCTCTCAAATAAATAAATAAATAAATAAATAAATAAATAAATAAATAAATAAATTAGAAACAAAGAGCAAGTAAAATGGAAAATTATATTTTTGAATATAACAGAAAGGGGGATCATATCCTTATGAATTAAGAGCCTAATAAAAATTAACGAAAAAAATCAAAAATAAAACACTAAAGCTCAACAGAAAAGTGAGTAAAAGAACTTTGAACAGAAATTCAAGACAAATTGCGAGACTAGTAAATATATGAAAAATGTTCAACTGCCCTGATAATTACAGAAATTTAAAGTATTTTATATTGCGTCAAAACAGCAAGACTTTTGCTTTGTTTTTTAACATAACGTTCCATATAAGCAAGTGATGAATTGCTAGCAAGTGCAAATTTGTTCAGCCTTACTGGGAAGCAATTTGGCAATAAGTGTCAAGAGCCTTAAAAAATGTTCACAGTCTTATATTCCTAAGAATTTATCCTTGTGGGAATGCCTGGGTAGCTCAGCGGTTGAGCCTCTGCATTAGGCTCAGAACATAATCCCTGGTGGGGTGGGTGGGGATCCCTGTGGGGGGTCTGCTTCTCTGTCTTCCTGTGTCTCTGCCTCTCTCTGTGTGTCTCTCATGAATAAATAAATAAATAAATCTTTCAAAAAAGAAAAGAATTTATCCTTGTGAAAAAAATCTGAAAGCTTTCAAGTGTGTTTGTCACAGCACTGTTTATAAAGGCCAAGAGGAAAAAAAAAAAAGGAAACAACCCAAATATGAAAAATTAGGGGGATATTTAAATAAATTATAAATCTCATATAATATAAAATCTTAATAAAAGATGTTCTTGAATCATTTTTGAGCAAAAGAGCAGTGGCCATAATATTAAAGGGAAAAACCAGAATACAAAATGTAATAGAGTATTGATGTGAATACATTATTTAAAAACATGCATAGGGGACAGCCCCAGTGGCGGTGGCGCTGCGTTTTAGCACTGCCTGCAGCCTGGGGTGTGATCCTGGAGACCCAGGATCGAGTCCCACGTCGGGCTTCCTGCATGGAGCCTGCTTCTCCCTCTGCCTGTGTTTCTGTCTCTCTCTCTCTCTCTCTCTGAATAAATAAATAAATCTTAAAAAAAATAAAGATAAATAAAAATTAAAACATGCATCGGAAAAATATTGGAAAAAATATATCAAAATACTAACTGTGGTTAACTTTGTGAATTTTACAAGTGAATTCTGTTTTCTTCTTTATGTTTTTCTATATTTTCCAAATTTTCTGTAAGGAGCATATGTTATTTTTATAATCACAACAAAATATTGTTAAATGGGGATAATGATACTCTCTTCACTCTACTTCATAAAACACTAAGAGGCTACATTTAAAAATGCCCTTAGGGTAAAGATTCATGTATTGGAGTTATGGTTGACTTGTTTGCTTGATTCATATGTAGTAACTCAAAGCAGTCTTGTTTGAGTTCATAACAGAAAGAATGAATTATTACCTATCATGACAGTAGCCCACAGCTAAAATAGAAGTGTTGCTATATTTAGAAGGATCACTTCCTAATTGACACCTAAGCCAACACTATACCATATGCTCTAAGGAGCAGAGAGCAACAACCCTTGACTTCCTAATTGATCTCAATCTCTCCCTTTATTACTACCCTAACTCTCACCCGCTCATCTCCCTCCTGCACCCCCAAGGACAATATTTTATTTCGTTATAAAAGGCCAAAATGACACACTTTTTCTTACAAATGTACAAAGAAAGATGATGCTTTTTGACCTCAGAAGGAAAAATAGAGTAAGAATATGACAGTGTGTCTTCTCATGCCAAGGAAGAAATACCCTGATATGTTGGCACAAGAATCATGAACAGCTTCACAAATGTACCCTGCAAAGGAAACAAGACATGTGGGAAGATCATATCCCAGGCTTGTTCATTTGCTTCATGATATGGAAATATGGAGAGTATATCAATACTCTTGAGATGGTACAGATCAAAGTGCAGGTCTACTGGCCACCTGCCATTACCCTATGCCTGGGGTATGACCACCTACACTCCAGAAACACACGTTTAGTTCAAACAGCTTTCAGCCCAGGAACATGATGACATATTGTGGGCATTATACAGGGTGGTCACAACTTATATATAAGGGATACATACCTGAAGACCTTGTGTAATTCATAATTCACATATTTAAAAACCAATTTTCCCATTAGAATAAATCAAAAGCATAATTTGCAAAATGTTTATATTTCTTCAAAACATGGTTAGTGAGGTCACCATCTGTAGAATAATCCTAAAATCAGTGGGGAGCAAATTCAGTTTTGTCAAGTTAGTTAGTTAGTTTAAAACTTTGAAGGAACAGACCTAACTATCTAGTCACCATTCTAGCAAATACATTTTTTTTTTCAAATACAATTTTCTGTAACAAAAAAGCAGTCTCAAGGTTCAGATTACAGCCTGGTAAGTAGAAGTGACATGTTGCAAAAGCCCTCTCTCTGTAGCTATCAGGCATCTAAGAATATTTTCACAAGGGGTAGAGCATGTATAAAATGAAATTTAAAGATGAATTTTGTCATCTTGGCCAAGAGTTCTTTACACTATCCAGTGCAGGCCTGCATTCATCTTCAGTATCTTACTGGCAAGATTTCTGCATTAAAAAGTGCTTGTGTCATAAAGTTCTTCTCAACATGTCTTCTTAACCACTATGGTAATATTTGACCTATGCTTTTCTTTCCTTTTTGGATTAAAATCAACCAACGCTGAATTAAAATAATTGAAGTATATACTTATCTTGATTGTCTGGAATAGTATTTGGTGAGTTTTATTTCTAGAAGGCACAAGGAGATGCTATTGATGAAGTGGCAAAGGTAAACTGGGCCTCTTTGTAGTGGGTCTTCTTACTTCTTTCTGTTCTCTAATTTGATACACTTTTTTTTTTTTCTGACATAATCTTGTTCCTTTATCCTAAGAAACACTTGTGGGCTTTCCACCCCTTGGAACATTTCTTAAATAATTCTAGAAAGTAACACAGACTAAAAAAAGGCAGGAATCACACTCTTTAGTGTTTCCTTCCTTTATCTCTCTGACTTCCAACATCGCTCTCTACTTTTTCATTTCCTATCTTGTCTATTATTGGTAGACCAGTCTCTCCAAGACATGTGTTTTATCACATCACTCCACTGCTTAGAAACTAAGTATGATTCCTTAATTTAATGCCCGCCTGCTCATTCCAAATACAAAATTTAAGGACTCCTTTCTAATCAGATTGGTGTGCTGTTGCATGTCTCTGACCTTATTAAATATGTAGAAGTATGTAGGTATACATCCATATGTATATGTGTATGTGTGTGTTCATAAACACATTGAACATTTTATAATCTACTCTTTGAAAAAGGACTTCATATGGCTTATGGCAACATGTGTGCATAATAAGGCTATCACAATTAGAAATAGAACAAATAGATATGTGCATATCGAATCTATGACTGAACAATCTGTGAACTGAAATCTGGGAGATTAGAGAGAGTTGCATTGGGCAACATACTAGAAACATCTGCTCAATGAGAACTTTTGAGTTAACATATAAACTCAAATAACAGCATAACAATATAATATAAATCTTTGCATAGAGAGTTGTTAGGTAAAAATCCTAGGGCATATCACTAAAGAGACACCCAGTGAGGGAAATTCTGGGGGTGGGAGCAGATAAGTTAATAAGATCCAAGTGCATACGAATTCACAGAGAACCATATTCCTTCTTTTCAGAGCATTTATCGAAGTTTATAATTACCAGTAACTTTTGTGATTGATTCATATCTGCTCCCCACTAGGCGGCTAGTGCCCTAAGAGGAAGGGCTGTATCTGTCGTTGGTCTCTTATGCATGTCTAAAGCATAGCAAAGTGCCTGGCATAAGGCAGGTGCTCAATGACTGTTGAATGAAAACAGTAACAATACAGAGAGGACCAAGCCAGCATCTTAGGAAGGGGCTTCATCAGGGCTGCAGCTTGGTGGGGTCATTTCAGGCCAGTGGATGATCCTTGTTTGGTATGCTGGCACTGGATGCTCAGTTTCAGGTAGAGGGTAGTGATAGTTTCTGTTGTCACTTGATGTCATCATTGCCCTGAACTAACTCATTTCCAAGGTGAAGCATATCTAAGTACACTTGCTTCCATCTTTCTTAGGGGCTGGTTATAGCCCTTTGTGGATGGGCTAGTGGAGATTCAGTCTTTACTTTTTCTTGTTTATTCTGTAAAATTGAGGTCACTTGTCAGTGTGTTGACATGTCTGGGGCTTTTACAACACTATTTGATAGTGCAGAACTTCAGATATCAAGAATCTCACAAGGTGAAGTTAAGCTGGCTCTTATGACAGGTGAGTTCTTTGACTTGACTTTTTTTTTTTTTTGACTTGACTTTCTTAAAGATGGTGGTGCCAGAAAGTGGACTATTAATTTGCATTACTATTTTTCCCTTTATAGCTTACTTTCTGAAAATTGGAACTGCTGATAATGAATGATGGTTATGACCTGTTCCTCCTACCCTTCTCTCTTAGACCCTGTGAAGGAAGACAGTAACCTCATTCTGTGTCTTTCTTAGAAGAAGTGTGTTGAATTTTCATTTAAGTTACTCAAAAAATATATATAGATTCCGAAGTCAGGACACCTGTGATTTAGGCATAGTGAAGAGGGTTAGGAAAAACTGAAGAATTTGGAGATCTTGCCTTTTTCCCCACCTCTCTCCCTTCATTTGTTACTAGAGTTAGGTATGTGAGATTAAATGGCCTGAGGTAGAGCCACAGTCTCCTTTGAATTAGGCTGGGAAAACACTGCATGACAAATGACCCACTAGGAAGGCTTTCAGAGAGATTAAGTGAGGGATGGAGCCTGGAGACACCTTTGTGTAGACAGGCATCAGAGGTAGTACTAAGGAATGCTCAGGCTCTGAGAATGAGTACAGAGTGAGATAATATTCTTTGTGCCCTTGTTCACCTTCTTCACCAATAAACAATGCCAACTTCCTTGTTAGGAATAATATTTAGCATTTGCCTCATTATCCATAATACTTTTAAATGGGTTTTATTGAAGAAATTTTTAAAAACTGTGTAAAACTGCATTCACTCCAAGCCTTTAATTTTGTGCTCTGCTCTCTAATGCAACCATGTAGGTTGAGTGCCATCCGTATTTCACCCAGCCAAAACTCTTGAAATTTTGCCAACAACATGACATTGTCATTATTGCATACAGCCCTTTGGGGACTTCTAGGAATCCAACCTGGTAAGCAATGCTGTATATCTCTTCAGCAGTGTTTCCTTTGGTGTAGAGTATGAAACTGATGTGAATTACTTGGTTGGCAAGATTATATGGCTCTGTGATTTTAAGAAAGTAACAAAGTCTTTGAGTCATTCTCTATATACACAAATTGGAGCTAATAAAACCTTCCTCACAAAGGTGGTATAAGAATTTATTACACTGTATGTATGAAATTACCTAACAATGCCTGAAACATGGAATATACCCCCACAAATGTTTAGGTATTATCTGACAGTCTCCATGACCATATCCTGAAATTTTAGAATTTTTTTATTTCTGTATTCCAGTATAGCACTTCTGCTGTGATGTGTTCCATAGGCTTAAGTAGAAATTTTTCTACTTGAAGATGACTCTAATAGTTGTGCCTCTGTTTCTTCCACTTTGGTCTTCCTGCCTTCCCCATATGCCTACTTCCAACCCAGTTCTCTCTGTAAGACCCATCAAAGAAATACCATTTACCCTCCGAAAGAGGCAGCTCTATAAATTTGCCTCTCTTGATCTTTTCATGTTAAAAGCAACTCTTCACTGAGTGCTCTGCTCTCTGAGAAATTGGTTACAGGTGACCTGAAGTGGTAGGTGGCCAGGGGGATAGGGAGCCAGAGGAGGGAGGTGATTGACTAACCATCTGTTCTCATTACTTGAGCTAAATATGATGCAGGTTTTGATTTTTTTTTTAAGGGTGAATATATCTTCCCCACCTTTGCTAAAGGATGAACTTCTTAATGCACTGGGGAAAAAGTACAAGAAGACAGCAGCTCAAATCGTTTTGCGTTTCAACATCCAGAGAGGAGTGGTTGTTATTCCTAAAAGCTTTAACCCTGAAAGGATCAAGGAAAACTTTCAAGTAAGAGAACTGCTTCTGGAAATGTAGAAAGTAGAGTTGTTTTGTTTTGTTTGTTTATTTTTTGGAGAATTTTCTATTCAGATTAATAAGAAACTTGTAATGCCTTCGTATTTTATTGTACACCTGCTCTCCAAACCACATTCTTTATATCTGAATTTAACTTTAGGTGAATTTGAGACAGTTCCCAGAACTTTGGGGATTGCTTTACTGCTTGTACTTTACCTAGCTCCCTTATTTTCTTCCGTTTCCTTAACCTATTGACTCTTGGCACTACCTACTCACTTCACCAGCACAGCAGAAATAGAAGGTATAAAATTTGAAGTTCGTAATAGGAAACTTTCCATCTTCTTTTTTTATTTGCTGGGGACAAATTTGGACATTATTGAAGAGGATCATTAGACTTCATGAATGCTAATTGCCTTTATCTCCTCTATAAATAATTTGGAATCAGTCTCATAACTTACAGGTGAGAAGAGGCCGCTAGACAAAGGCATGATTAGTTTACTACTACTCAAGACTAAACTGCTAGGTAAATACAGCCATAGAAAAATATCATGCAAAATTAATTAGTGACTGATCAGTTAATAATCTCAAAAGCTAAGTTGTTTTTGTTTCAATAAGTAGTTTATAAATTTAATAATCTCAGTAGTTTAATAAGTTTTTACTAAATAAAGTAAGTAGTTTAATAAGTTTAATAATCTCAAAAAGTAAGTTGATAAAAATAAGACCATATTTATCCCCTCAGGAAAATGATCAGAATATTGAATATGTAGGAAAACAGGCACCTTCATATACTCCTGTTAGAAACATTAATTTATATAAGATTTGAAGGAGCAAGATGTCACCTTTCCAACCCACATATCTATTTGACCCAAACAATCTTGGTCCTATATTTAACCACATATATATGGATGTTTACTACAGCATAATTTATCACTTTAAAAAACTGAAAACAATCTTCAGTAGAATCTTATAAAACAAATTATAATATATTTATACAATGAAATATTATATACCCTTTTTAAAATAATAGAGTGAAAATGTAAGTACTGCCATGGGAAGATATTCATGATATTAGACAATTTATCTTCAGAGCTTTTTTGCTACTGTATGACAGAAAGCAACTCAAACTTACCAAAGAAAGAGAAAGACATGATTTATTGGGTCACATAACTGGAAAGTCCATGGATAAATCGGGCATGACCAGGAACAGGTATTCAAATGATTTATAAAAGGACTGAGCTCTTTTCCTCCCTCCACACTCCCCACGCCTCTCCCAACCTTCTCTGTCTCTACATGATGGCACCAACAGTCCCTGACAGCTCCAGGCTAATCTATTACTCATACTCAGTGAAGATGATCACAGGTAAAGGCTTCTGTGAGGATCTCTATCAACCCCTGATTGTCCTTTTCTGGGTCATGCACCACTCCCATATTAATGACTATATCCAGTGAATAAGATACTTTGGCCCCCTGGGCTACACCTCTATTCCTGTGCTGGAAATGAATTCATGACAAATAGCCCTACTAGGTGGTGGAGGAGAAATTCATAAAAGGAAAAAGGGGATACTGTTATTAGCAAAAAGAGGAAAGAATGATAAACAGTTATGCCACTACTGACAGTATTTTATTATTTTTTTTCTGACAGTATTTTAACACTTAACAAAATCTTGCTAAAAGTAGTTGACACTGTTTTTCAGTCATCTTAAAAAAATAAGCTATCTAGATGGCTAATGTGTTAGTTCATCAAAAATTAAAACAAACAAGTTTAATGCACCTGCAACAAATGTTTTCATGGACTCAAAATTTTACTGTTCAGAAACTGAGAGTGGTGGGATGCCTGGGTGGCTCAGCGGTTGAGCATCTGCTTTTGGCTCAGGGCATGATCCTGGAGTACCGGGATCGAGTCCCACATCAGGCTCCCTGCATGGAGTCTGCTTCTCCCTCTACCTGCATCTCTGCCTCTCTCTGTGTCTCTCATGAATAAGTAAGTAAAATCATGAATAAGCAAATAGAGAGATTTTATTCTTTTTATGGTTGGGTAATATTCCAATATATAGATACCACATCTTCTTTTTCCATTCGTCACTTAGGAGCATTTGGGCACTTTCCATAATTTGGCTATTGTTGATAATGCTGCAGTAAATATCAAAGTGCACGTATCCCTTCAAGTCAGTATGTTTTTATCCTTTGGGTAAATATCCCAGGGATCCCAGTAGAAGACCTATTAAAAATGATAGGGAAAATGATTAAGAGGATAAAGCAAGGGGGATCCCTGGGTGGCTCAGCGGTTTAGTGCCTGCCTTTGGCCCAGGACGTGATCCTGGAGCCCCGGGATTGAGTCCCGCGTCGGGCTCCCGGCATGGGGCCTGCTTCTCCTTCCGCCTGTGTCTCTGTCCCCGTCTCTCTTTCTATGTCTATCATGAATAAATAAATAAAATCTTTAAAAAAAAAAGATAAAGCAAATTAAAAGTTAAAAATACATAAGCAAATTTAGAGACTAGGGAATATTTTTAAAAACAAGTGCACAAAAGCCATAGTCCAGAATCAGAAGTTCAGCATCTCATCCAGAAACAATAAAAAATTCTTCACTCTTGAAATTTTAGATGTCCTGAATATATGTTATTGCAGAGTATTTGGAATGTCTTGCAAGATGGCCCCAGCAGAAGTGTCTCAAAGACAAAGACCATCCCCAGCTCTGCATGGGGATGTGGCCCCCCAGCACCAGCCCAACTTCTTTCACATTTGCAGATATTCATAAATTTTTTATGTAAATTTTTGACATAAATTTTTGACGTAATCTTTTATGTGTATGTCACTAATAACAGAGCTTCAACATATATGAAGGACTAAAAGGAAATACCTGACAGAACTGAAACAAAGATATTAACAATTATTTTTGTATCAATTTTATTTACATTCCAGTTAGTTAACACATAGTATAATTTTGGTTTCAAGAGTAGAATTTAGTGATTCATATAACACCCAGTGTTCATTACAACAGGTGCCCTCCTTAATTCCCATCGCCATTTAGCCCATCTTCCACCCACCTCCCCTCCAGCAACCCTCAGTTTGTTCTCTATGGTTAAGAGTCTCTCTTTTTAAATTTTTTTTAATTTTTATTTATTTATGATAGTCACAGAGAGAGAGAGAGACAGAGAGGCAGAGACACAGGCAGAGGGAGAAGCAGGCTCCATGCACCGGGAGCCCGATGTGGGATTCGATCCCGGACCCCCAGGATCGCGCCCCGGGCCAAAGGCAGGCGCCAAACCGCTGCGCCACCCAGGGATCCCGAGTCTCTCTTTTTTTTTAAGATTTTATTTATATTTTATTCATCAGAGACACAGAGAGAGAGAGAGGCAGAGACAGGTAGAGGAAGAAACAGCCTCCATGCAGGGAGCCCAACATGGGACTCGATCCTGTGTCTCCAGAATCATGCCCTGGGCTGAAGGCGGCGCTAAACCACTGAGCCACCCGGGCTGCCCTGGTTAAGAGTCTTTTATGGTTCACTGTCTCCCTCTTTTTCTTTTCCATGCCCTTGTTCATTTTGTTTCTTAAATTCCACATATGAGTAAAATCGTATGGTATTTGTATTTCTCTGACTTGTTTCACTTAGCATAATGCACTCTAGCTCTATCCACGTTGTAGCAAATGGAGAGATTTTATTCTTTTTATGGTTGGGTAATATTCCAATATATAGATACCACATCTTCTTTTTCCATTCGTCACTTAGGAGCATTTGGGCACTTTCCATAATTTGGCTATTGTTGATAATGCTGCAGTAAATATCAAAGTGCACGTATCCCTTCAAGTCAGTATGTTTTTATCCTTTGGGTAAATATCCAGCAATGCTGGATCATAGGGTAATTCTATTTTTAACTTTGTGAGGAACCTCCATACTGCCTTCCGGTGGCTGGGTGAGTGGCTGCACCAGTTTGCATTCCCACCAACAATGTAACAAGGTTCCTTCTTCTCCACATTTTCACCTACACCTGTTGTTTCCTGTGTTGTTAATTTTAGCCGTTCTGACAGGTATGAAGTAGTGTCTCATCGTGGTTTTGATTTGTATTTCCCTGATGATAAGTGATATTGAGTGAGCATCTTTTCATGTGTCTGTTGACCATCTGTATGTCTTCTTTGGAAAAATGTCTACTCACGTCTTCTGTCCACTTTTTAACTGGGTTTTTTTTTTTTTTTTTAGGTATCAGGTCTTATAAGTTCTTTATATATTTTAGATACTAACCCTTTATCAGACACGTCTTTTGAAAATACCTTCTCCCATTTCATAGGCTGCCTTTTAGTTTTAATGATTGTTTCCTTTGATGTGCAGAAGCTTTTTATCTTGATAAAGTCGCAATAGTTCATCTTTTGCTTCTGTTTCCCTTGCCTCTGGCAATGTGTCTAGTAAGAAGTTGCTATGGCCAATATCAGAAAGGTTACTGCCTGTGTTCTATGGTTTTGATGGTTTCCTGTCTCACACTTAGGTCTTTTATCCATTTTTTATAAAGATTTTATTTATTTATTCATGAGAGACACATACAGAGAGGCAGAGACATAGGCAGAGGGAGAAGCAGGCCTCCTACAGGGAGCCTGATGCAGGACTTGATCCCAGGACCCCAGGATCACAACCTGAACCAAAGGTGGATGCTTAACCACTGAGCTACCCAGGTGCCCCAGGTCTTTCCCCCATTTTGAATTTATTTTTATGTATGGTGTAAGAAAGTAGTCCAACAAAATACCATTTGTTGAAGAGACAAATTTTTTTCCATTGGATATTCTTTCCTGCTTTGTTGAAGAATAATTTACCATATAGTTTTGGGTTTATTTCTGGGTTTTCTCTTCTGTTCCATTGATCTATGTGCTTGTTTTTGTGCCAGTACCATATTGTCTTGATGAGTACAGCTTTGTAATATAGCTTGAAGTCTGGAATTATGATGCCCCCAGCTCTGCATTGCTTTTTCAAGATTGCTTTGGTTACTCAGGGTCTTTCTTTTAATTTGGGGTCTTTTGTGGTTCCATACAAATTTAAGGATTATTTGTTCTAGCTCTGTGGAAAATCTTTTGCTGATAGGGATTACATTGAATGTATAGATTGCTTTGGGGGGATTAAACATTTTGACAATATTTTTCTTCCAATCTATGAGCATGGAATGTTTTCACATTTCTTTGTGTCCTCTTTAACTTCTTTCCTAAGTGTCCTCTGGTTCTCAGAATATAGATTGCCCCTCACTTTGGTTAGGTTCATTCCTAGGTATCTGACAGTTTTTGGTGCAATTGTAAATGGGATCGGTTCCTTTATTTCTCTTTCTACTGCTTCATTATTGGTGTATAGAAATGCAACAGATTTCTGGGGTGCCTGGATGGCTCAATTGGTTAAGTGTCTAATTCTTGGTTTTAGCTCAGGTTGTGACCTCAGGGTTCTGAGACTGAGCCCTGCATTGGGCTCCTCACCCAATGCAGAGTTTGCTTGTCTTTCTTCCTCTGCTCCTCCTCCCACTTTTTTCATGTATCAATTCTAACAATTTTTTAGTGGAGTCTTTTGGTTTTTCTACAGAGTATAATGTTGTCTGCAAACAGTGAAAGTTTAACATCTTCCTTGCCAGTTTGGATGCCTTCTATTTCTTTTTATTGACTGATTGCTGAAGCTAAAATTTCCACTACTATGTTAAATAACAATAGTGAGAGTGGTCATATGTTTTGTTCCTGACTATAGAGGGAAAGCTCTCAGTTTTTCCCCTTTGAGGATATATTAGCTGTGGGTTTTTGTTTATGGCCTTTATGATACCGATGTATGTTCTCTCAATCCCTACTTTGTTGAGGGTTTTTACCCAGAATGGATGCTGTACTTTGTCAAATGCTTTTTCTGCATCTATTGAGAAGTTCATAAGGTTCTGATCCTTTCTTTTATTAATGTGGTGTATCACATCGATTGACTTGCGAATATTGAATTACTCTTGTAGCCTAAGAATAAATCCCCACTTGGTCATGGTGAATAATTATTTTAAACATGTTCATAAGAAAAAAAAGATGCTCATAAATTTTTGAGGGGATCTTACTACGGGCCTCATTCCCTGATCCCAAGTTTGACCCATTTCCTACCTTCAAAAATGTCTTATTTCTGTTATTTCAGATCTTTGACTTTTCTCTCACTGAAGAAGAAATGAAGGACATTGAGGCCTTGAATAAAAATGTTCGCTTTGTGGAGATGCTCATGTGAGTTCAGGGAACCATTCATCAAATACTACCCAGTGGTACTGAATAGGCCCATGGAAATCACAAGGGTAAAGCCAGTGGGCAGCATGTTTTGAATATTAAACAGGTCTGGGTAAATTACTTTTATTCTAGGAATTTCCTACATGCCACAGTTTTATTTAAAAGATTTCTGGTATTAAAAAAAAAAAAGATTTCTGGTATTCATGACATCCCTTGACTTAGGTTAAGGCATGGCAGGCTAAATACCTTGATGAGAATTAAGTCATAGTGTATATATGTTAATATAACAGCAACACGAATACTCAAACCTATTTATTTTTTCCTAAAAATCAAAGTGATGCACAATTTAGAGCAAAATTATCAACAAAAATGAAAGAGACATGGGAGTAGAGTAGAAAGAGTGCCACATTAGAAGTGAAGAACCTAGGGATTTAGACAAATGCCTGCCTGTAAGATGTGGAGCTTCTAATTCCACCTATTAGATGACTTCCCACAAGCAAAATTCCTTACACTCCTTCAAAATGTTGCTAAATTCAGCTAATCAACTGAATTAGCCCTTTATTCTCTAAATAGTATAGGGCCTTTAAAATAACAAAAGACTAGTTCATACATATACGGTTCTCATAGATAAATATAGATACATACATACACATATTGGTGTATACACTTTTCTTTCTCTTTATTCATTAGTATATCCAGTTTTTGAAATCACCTGGACAGTAATCTATTTGTAATCTCCTCTTTAAGTGAGCATTTGGAAAATGCTCATTAGGTTAATTCATACAGCTTGAACATTTACCTTATTGGTCCCACTATTTCTCATGAGTCAGAAAGCACACTGACAATGCTAATACCAAATTTCTGAATCAATTTCTGAATTAATACAACAGCCTCCTAATGTTAATTTTCTAGAGTAAAACATTATTCAACATCAAAAGGTACCACTAAGGGCAGCCCCGGTGGTGCAGCGGTTTAGCGCCGCCTGCAGCCCAAGGCGTGATCCTGGAGACCGGGATCGAGTCCCACTTCGGGCTCCCTGCATGAAGTCCGCTTCTCCCTCTGCCTGTGTCTCTGCCTGTCTCTCTCTCTCTCTGAATGAATAAATAAGTAAATCTTAAAAAAAAAAAAAAAAGGTACCACTAAGCCTTGGGAACAGAAAGGTAAACACAAACACACCAACACTTAATGGTTAATTAATAGCTCTTGAAGATAAATTATTTCAATTGAATAAATATCATTAAATTAAAAAGAGATAATAAGAGACAATCAAGCTACCAATGTACTGATTTTTTTATGGTTAATTGGTGAAATTATTTAGTTTGACATTTGACATATTTAATACCTAATTCCTGCAACAATGGGAAAATAACTAATAAGAAATAACTAGATAAATCAGCAAGGAGAAACAAACATTAGGCCTCATTGATTAAAAAAAAAAAATGTACCACTTAGGGATGTTAGGCTATGATTCTTCTCTGTTTTTCATCCAGTTGATCTCTAACATTGAAGAACCTTAATTTGTTTTCTATTTTAATTAAAGCTCATAGTACTTGCAGAGAACTGAATTTTAAACATGGTCCATGGAAGGCACAACACACACTAGTCCTTTTTTATTGACTATTCCATCACTGTTATTTGATAGGTTCATGATCATCATCATTATCATGGAAACTTAAAATTCACGTTTCTAGATTTCAAACTTTCAATTCTCAAGAGGTCCAGTGAGAAGGACAGGTAAAAACTCTGGAAAGAAAGTGATACTGATGGGTAATAGAATTTTGAAGAGAAACATATGTGGATCATTGACACGGAAGGCAGCCTGTGTCAAAACAGCAGAGGGAAGGAAGGAATTGAGAAGGGGCACAAAAAACTATGGGCAGTCATTTCTCACTTCCTGTGCTTTTGTTCTGAGCAAAATGTTGATGTGGAGGCAGCCAGCCTTCCATCACACACACACAACTTACTCAAGTACACACACACTACTGTCCAGAGTTTCAGTAAAACATGTTGGCTTGAGGGAAAACAGAGGAGACTGGGTGAGAAACAGAGAGGGAGGACTAGGGGAGAAAGGGAAGGGCCAGTGAAATTGTCAAAGGAGGCTAGTAACGCATACAGCTGTGCAATGTTTGCAAGTGAACTTTTTCCCTTTCGGGAATTTGTTTTGACAGGTGGTGTGATCATCCTGAGTACCCATTTCATGATGAATACTGACTTCAGAATGCTCCTGAATTGATTTTTCCCTCCCATGCATGCCAGAACCTTGGGTTGGGTGGTTCCTCCAGATGTAGAAATTTAAAAAGTTTTACTCTCTTTAGATAAAGTGATGACGTTAACATGCTTAAGTTTTGTGCCACGTAAATGACTTTGGCTTAGATATGTAAAGAAAAAAAATATGTTTAAATCTGTTGAAATAATTATTTGTAAACTATAAGCTTGGATCAAGGCCTTCTGGGTTCCAGATAGAAAAATATTAGGCTTTAGAAAGGACTTCAGAGGCAATGTGTGAAGATAAATAACTCTTGAATGTGAGCACTGCCATTGGCAGTCTGAGTTCCTTACTTTAAGCAGTAAACTGGGCAACAAAGAGGGTGGTAAAGTAGTGCTTGCCTGTGCTAGCAGTGACCTTGATGATTTGGACCATTGACTGTAACACAGACACAGCCAAGATAAGATCCACACTTGAATTATTAACAAGGACATGATTTCCTGCACCTTGTATAATGAGAAAGAGCTAAGCATAGAAAAGTCTTAATATAGAGCTAATTCAACAATCACAGTGGTCAGCAAGGACATAATGACTTGGTTGTTGTTTGTTTCCATCCCATGTGTGTTCGTTTAGCTTTTACCCACTCTAAGGGATGGTTAATGGCTAGCTCTCTCTTGCATGCTTTCAAGGGCCTGAGCATAAACAACTGGTGATCCATACTTACACTGCCTATCACTCTTGCCTTACTCATCATACAACCACTATTATATGAAGTAGCTTGAGACAGTCAACATACACAAATAAAACTCTGAATCATAAAATAATCCAAAGATGACTATTTTTTTAAGTAGGTTCCATGGTCAGTGTGGAGCCCAATATAGGGCTTGAACTCATGACTCTAAGGTCAAGACCTGAGCTGACATCAAGAGTCAGACATTTAACTGACTGAGGCACCCAGGTGCCCCCAAAGATAACTATTTTAAAGGAAGGAATTTTAAAAGGAGGTGTTGGGGCGCCTGGCTGGCTCACTTGGTGGAGCATGTGACTTTTAATCTCAGGGTTGAGTTCAAGCCCCATGCTGGGTACATAGATTACTTAAAAATAAAATCTTTAAAATAAAAATAAAATAAAAATAGAAAGGAGGCTTCATAAGATATTAGACTTAGGGGATGCCTGGGTGGCTCAGCGGTTGGGCCACTGCCTTCGGCCCAGGGCGTGATCCTGGAGTCCTGGGATCAAGTCCCACATCGGGCTCCCTGTGAAGAGCCTGCTTCTCCCCCTGCCTATATCTCCACAGCTCGCTCTCTCTCTGCATCTCTCATGAATAAATAAATAAATCTTTTTTAAAAAAGATATACTTAGGACTTTGAAAGTATTATTAGAATAACTATGTGAATTTCAAGAAGTAGCAAGTTCTCAAAAGAACATTGGTAATTTTTTTAAAGATTATTTATTTATTCATTCATAGAGACACAGAGAGAGAGAGAGAGAGAGAGGCAGAGACACAGGCAGAGGGAGAAGCAGGCTCCATCCAGGGAGCCCGACGTGGGACTCAATCCAGGGTCTCCAGGATCACGCCCTAGGCCGCAGGCGGCGCTAAGCCGCTGCACCACCGGGGCTGCCCAAACATTGGTAATTTTACTGCATGTAAATTTTTAATTTTTGAGTATGAAGATTATTAGAATTCTGTTATAGAGATGTACCAATTTTCAATTCAACTAGAGCAATGTATTTTTTCATTCATATTAAGTCACTCTCATAGGGTAAGAGAGTTTTTCAAAAATTATGTTTTTCCAAGACCAATTGCTTACAGATGATCTTCAGTGACCTGAAAACACACATTTCTGAGAAATCAGCACTTGAAGAAAATTTGATCTCTACTCTCTGTATCTACTGATTCTAATGTAATGCTGTTCTCTGGAAAATATTTTGCTTACAACAAATAATAAAATGTGATGATTTATTGAACCACACAAATCTCCATTTTGTTGCTAATGACAGAGGGAGGGGAAAAATCATCTGAATTCAATTCAATTGAAAGTTCTTACTCTACATTTAGCACTGGGAAACGGGAGGAAAAAAGAGTATCATAGTGCAAGAACAGAAACTTAAGCCCTGTTCCCTGTTATCAAATGTCTTCAAAATATTTGGGGGGAGGCTGGTGTGAAGGAGAGTTCATATTGTTGAAACCACATTTAAAAGACAGGTATTGGGAAAGAGTTTTACCACTTCACAGGGGGAAAAATATTTCCAAAGGTTAGAGGAGGGGAACTCTACCTTAGTTACACAGTGATGAGGAGAAAGGGTTGAAGACAGAAAACAGGAAGTTCAGGAAATAGTGACAATCTGATATGAGCTTCTGCATGTCACCTCTCCCTCCACTCTCACCCCTCACAAGCTTCCCATCTATTTTGGGATACATTGTGTTCCCGCCTCCCCAAATTCAAAACTTAAAAGTCCTAGCCCCTAGCACCTCAGAATGTGACCTTATTTGGAAATATGGTCATTGCATATGTAATTCCTTAAGATGAGGTCATAATGGAAAAGGGTGACCCCTGATGCAATAAGACTGGTACCTTATAACAAGGGGAAATTTGGACACAGATAACATACAGGGAGAACACCATGTACATAACAAGGCAGAGATCAGAGTGATGCTTTCAATTATTTGTTCCTGGGGTACCTGGGTGGCTTACTAGTTGAGCATCTGCCTTTGGCTCAGGTCATGATCCCAAAGTCCTGGGATCAAGTCCCACACTGGGCTCCCTGCAGGGAAACTGCTTCTCTCTCTGCCTATGTCTCTGCCTCTGTATGTGTGTATGTATGTGTGTCTGATGAATAAATAAATAAAATCTTTTAAAAATATAAATAATTTGTTCATTATATAAAACAATAACAAACAGAAAGGAACTCTTTGATAATAATACAATGATAGTAGATCTACACATGCATTATTGAACAGATCATCTAAGCAATCAACCTACATCAATGGACAGATCATCTAAGCAGACAATCAACAAGGAAACAAGGGCTTTGAATGACATACTGGACCAGATGGACTTAACAGATATGTTGAGAGTATTCCATCCTAAAGCAGCAAAATACACATACTTTCAAAGTGCACATAGGACATTCTCCAGAATAGATCACATACTAGGTCACAAATCAGGTCTCAACAAGTACAAAAAGATTGAGATCATACCATGCGTATTTTCTGACCACAACACTATCAAACTTGAAGTCAATCACAGAAAAAATCTGTAAAGACCACAAATATATGGAGGTTAAAGAACATCCTACTAAAGAATGAATGCATCAACTGGGAAATTAAAGAAGAAATTAAAAAAAAATACATGGAATCAAACAAAAATGGGAACATCATGGTCCAAAAACTTTGGGATGCAGCAAAAGATGTCCTAAGAGGGAAGTGCATAGCAATACAGGCCTACCTCAAGAAGCAAGAAAAATCTCAGATAAACAACCTAACTTTACACCTAAAGGATTTAGAAAAAGAACTACCAACCAGCAGAAGGGAAATAATAAAGTTCTGAGCATAAATAAATGACATAGAAACAAAAGTAGAACAGATCAATGAAATCAAGAGCTGGTTCTTTGAAAAAATTAGTAAAATTTGTAAACTCTTAGCCAGACTAATCAATAAGAAAAGAGAAAGGACCTAAATAAATAAAATCACAAATGAGAAAGGAGAAGTAACAACCAACACCACAGAAGTACAAACAATAACAAAAAAATATTATGAAAACTATCTGCTAACAAATTAGACAACCTGGAAAAAAATGGATAAATTCCTAGAAACATATAAACTACCAAAACAGAAACAGGAGCAAATAGAAAACTTGAACAGACTGATAACCAGCAAAGAAACTGAATCAGTAATCAAACATCTCCCAAAAAAAGTCCAGGACCAGATGGCTTCACAGGAGGATTCTACTAAACATTTAAAGAGTTAATACCTATTCTCTCTTCAAACCATTCCAAAAAAATAGAAATGTAAGGAAAACTTCCAAACTCATTCTATGTGGCCAGCATTATCCTGATTCCAAAACCAGACAAAGACTCCACTAAAAAAGAGAACTACAGGCCAATATCTCTAAGGAACGTGGATGCAAAAATTCTCAGTGAAGTATTAGCAAATTGATGGGGTGCCTGGGTGGCTCAGTCAGTTAAGCATCTGCCTTTGGCTTGGGTCATAATCCCAGAGCCCCAGGATCCAGAGCCATGTCACACTCCCTGCTCAGCAGGGAGGCTTCTGCTCTCACTTACTCTTGCTCATTCTCTCTCTCAAATAAACAAAATACTAAAAAATATATTAGCAAATCAAATCCAATAGTACATTAAAAGAATAATTCACCACAACTGAGTGGGATTTATTCCTGGGCTGCAAGGTAGTTCAATATTCATAAATCAATCACATGACACACCTCATTAATAAGAGAAAGGATAAGAACCATATGATTCTCCCAATAGATGCAGAAAAAGCATTTGACAAAGTACAGCATCCATTTTTTATAAAAACCCTCAACAAAGGGCAACCCGGGTGGCTCAGTGGTTTGGCACCTGCCTTCAGCCCAGGGTGGGATCCTGGAGACCTGGATCGAGTCCCACATCGGGATCCCTGCATGGAGGCTGCTTCTCCCTCTGCCTGTGTCTCTGCTTCTTTCTCTCTCTCTGTCTCTCAAGAATAAATAAATAAAATCTTAAAAAAAAAAAAAAGAATTGTAACATTCTTTAAAAAAAAACAAAACCCTCAGCAAAGTAGGGACTGAGGGAACATACCTCAATATCATAAAGGCCATATTTATTGCAGCATTATCAATAGCCAATCCTCCTCTCCCAAAAAAGCAATAACCAAATTATGGAAAGAGCCCAAACATCCATCAACTGATGAATGAAAGAAGATGTGGTGTGTGTGTGTGTATACAGCCATGAAAGAAGAATGAAATCTTGCCATTTTCAAAAACACAGATTGAGCTAGAAAGCATTCTAAGTGAAATAAGTCAGTCAGAATAAGGAAAATATATACGATGTCACTCATTTGTGGAATTTAAGAAACGAAACAGCTGAATGTGGCAGGTTAGGAGGAAGAAAGGCAAACCAGGAAACACTCTCAACTACAGAGAACAAACAGGGTTAATGGAGGGAGGGAATGGATTAAATCAGTGATGGGTATTAAGGAAGGTACTTGTTGTGATGAGCACTGAGTGTTTTATGTAAGTGATGAATCACCAAACGCCTAAAATAATGTTACATAGTATGTTAACTAATTGGAATTTAAATAAAAACTTGAAAAAAAAAAAAGAGAAGACACACAGATTGCCAAGGGACACAGAAAAAGATGCTCAGCATCACTTTTCATGAGGGAAATGCAAATCAAGAATACACTGAGATATCACCTGACACCTATAAGAATGGCTAAACAAAAACTTAAAAATAACAGGTGTTGGGAAGGATGTGGAAAAAAAGGAACACTTGCACACTGTTAGTGGGAATGCAAATTGGTGAAGCCACTGTGGAAAACAGTATGGACATTCCCCAGAAAGTTAGAAATAAAACTATCCTACAATCCAGCAATTGCACTACTGGGCATTTACCCAAAGAACACAAAAATACTAATTCAATGGGATGCTCTATGTTTATAGCAGCATTATTTACAATAGCCAAGATATAGAAGCAGCTGTAGTGTCCATCAATTGATGAGCAAAGATGTGGTATATGAATACGATGGACTATTATTTGGCCATGACAAAGAATGAAATCTTATCATTTGCAAAAACATAGATGGAGCTATAGAGGATTATGCTAAGCAAAAATAAGTCAGTCTGAGAAAGACAAATATCATGTGATTTCACTCATGTGGAATTTAAGAAGCAAAACAAATGAGCAAAGGGATAGAGAGAGAGAGAGAGAGGGAAACCAAGAAATAGACTTAACCACACAGAACAACCCGATGGTTACCAGAGGGGAGGTGGGGGGGGAAGGGTGAAATAGGTGATGAGGATGAAGGAGCGCACTTGGTGTGATGAGCACCGGGTGTTGTAAGGAAGTGTTGAATCACTCTATTGTACAACTGCAACTAAGATAACACTATGTTAACTAACCAGAATTTAAATAAAACTTTTTTTAATAAATAAAAAATAAAAATACAAAAATTATTTGTTCCTCAAGTGTTGATGTAATTTACCTAAGAATTTCAGCTCTGTCTAAAGGGAGCCTGTCCATTTTCTACTTCTTCTAGGATCCATTTTGCAAATTCATCCAGTCAAAATTTATCAATGTCACATAATTTAGTAAATGTAAATATATTTGTTCATTCAGTTAACAAAGGTTTTTGTGTGCCACTCTGCTGGGCTCTATCCCAGGCAGTTGGGATACATCAGCAAACAAAACAAAAGTCCCTGAACTCTGCTCTTACACTCTTGGACTCTTCTGATCCCTTTAATTTTCTGAAGCCTGTGCTTACTTCCCCCTTTCCATTCTTATTTTGTGTGTCTTTGATTTTTCCTACTACCTAATTAGTAGTCTATCAAGTTATTCCTTTCTTCTGGATTTCACTTAAAGCAAATTCCCCAAAAGAAAGAAAGAAATGTAATTAGTTCCGCTGTTTTTCTGCTTCCTAATTCATTAATCTCTTACTTTCTTTTACTGAGCTCTTGTCTGTTTTTCTTACTTCTTACATAGACTTCTAACTTCTTAGGTTGAATACCTACTTCACTGATTTTGTTAATTTTTTTAAGTTTATCTTTTAGTAATATAAACATTAAATGTAATAGATTTTACTCTTAGCAACTGCCTTAGTTAAACTTTCATAAATCAACTTGCTATTTTTCTAGACATTCTGAATTTTGGTTTTGCTTTCTTTGATTTATCATTGTTTATAAGAGTTCCTATCTTATTTTAATTTCTAGTTTTAGAGGGGTTTTTCCCTAGCTTTTATATTTCATGTTTAA